GAAAAGGGTCCATAGGGCACGCCTTGTTGAGATCCGTGTAGTCCACGCACATGCGGAAGGTAGGAGGCTTCTGTGCGAGGACTACGTTCGCCAGCCATGAGGGGTATTTTACCTCCTTGATGTTCTTAATAGAGAGGAGCATGGCGACCTCCTTCTTCACAAATTCCCTCCTTTCGGCGGAGAGGGGTCTTCTTCGTTGCTGTACTGCTTTTGCCGAGGGGTCCACCGAGAGGCGGTGGGTGATGACCCTTCGGCTTATTCCCGGCATGTTCTCCGGTCCCCATGCAAAGATAGTGGAGTAGGCGCGGAGGGTGTCGGTGATACCGGTCTTCAGATCTTCAGGGAGCTGGGCTCCCATCTTCACGACTCTCTCCGGCTTGGCCGGATCGAGCGCAAAGTCTTCTACGTCCTCGGCTGGTTCAACCCTCGGCCTCTTTTCTTCTTCGTCGATGGTTCCGGTGATGGTGTCAACACGGAATTCCGTCTTACTTACTTTCTTCGTGACTTGAAGATAGCAAGCGCGGGCAATTTTCTGATTCCCCCGGGAGTAGCCAATGCCCCCTTCGGCGGGGAACTTGAGGCAGAGGTGCCTCATGGAGATGACGGCCTCGAGGTCCTCGAGGGCTGGCCGGCCGAGGATGATGTTGTGGGCGCAGTCGATGTTGACGACGACGAACTCCACTTCGAGCTGGGCTCTATGGAGCCCGTCGCCGAAGATCACCGGGAGGGTTATTACCCCCTCGGAATCAATAGTATCGCCGGTGAAGCCGGCAAGAGGGGTCTTAATGGGCCGAATGGACCCCCTCTCCAGATGCAGCTCTCTAAAGGTGCTGAGGTACATTACATTGACGGAGCTGCCCGTGTCAATGTAAGTTCGGTGAATGATGGTGTTGTTTATTTGAGTCCGAATCACCAAGGCATCCCTGTGAGGAGAAGAAGTAGGAGGGAGATCTGCGTTGGTGAAGGTGATGGGTTCCTCCCTCAGCCGCTTTACCGGGGGCATATGGGTGACTTCCCCCACGTAAAGCGATTGAGCCCACTTTTTCCGCTGGCTGGTGGAATCGCCCCCTGTATTGCCACCGGTGATCATGAGGATGTGGCGTTTTTTCTCCTGGTAGTGGGGGTACTCCTCCTCTTCCTCCTCCAAGTTTCCGATCTCCCTCTTCTTGCCGAGGGGGATGGTGTTCGGGTTCACCCAAGCGTTCACCTTCGTGTGGTTCCCTCGGGGAGGTCCCTGATGAGAAGGTCCCTCCTGCCGAGGGCTCTGAGTTAGCGTTTGGATGAAGGCGGAGAGCGCCGAATGAACGTCGATGGTGAGGACCGGAGGGCTGACTTGGTCATCACTCCGGTTTTTCTTCTTGGGCTCGATGCCGAGGCGGGCATCGGGGGCATTTTGCTGGATCTGAAGGCGTAGGTCGACAGCCGCCTGTTCCAGCCCAGCGATGACACCGCCCTCGGGAGCCCTGTGAGAGGCTTCGGGGGCGTTGACGTCGCCGAGGGCCAAGTTCTTGTCTTCTACGTTTTTGGAGTTGGCACGTGTTGTTCTCACCATTTTGGCAGAGGGCTAGTGTTTGGCGAAGGGGGGGGGGTTTCTTACTTGATTGTTCGACCTCTCAATGAGAGCACCAAATGATGGATAGTGTACCCGGGGGGTAGCTTATCCGAGGGGTTATTACGGGGAGTAATAAGAGAGAAGTCAGAGCAAGTAAATATAGAGAGAGAAAGTATATTATAAAGTGTGGAGCGTTTTCAGCGTGGTTACAAATGGGGAAATGGGGTGCTATTTATAGTAGCAATAAATGCCGGACAGGGACACGTGTCAAGCGCCCATTGGCCGAGAGATCACCTCAACTGGTTGGCGCTGGCAACCGCATGTGGCCGCATTTAATGCGGCTGTTGGATGGGACATTGTACAGGGTACGGTGATCTGTACGCATGTGACGCGGATATTATGTCGGGAGAGGTGCCCTCGACTGCAGAGGACCAGCCGAGGGCTCTGAGTGACGGGGACCCCCTGGGTGCCGAGGGCTCCAGGTGCCGAGGGCTACTGCTTTCTGCCGTTTTTCTCCCAGTTTCTTAGTTTGCTTGAAAATCCGTTCTGTGAGAGTTTGAGCCTTCGACTAGGGGGCCGAAGGCTCCCCAGTGTGCGTTGTGGGCTGCTAAGTGCTTGGGGCGCCGTAATTTGGGGCCTGTTGTGCTTCCTGGGCCGGTTGGGCCTTTATTGGTGTAGTAGGAGTCTGTGGGCCGGGGGTTCCCGAGCCATATACTCCATCAGTTACTGTATTCTAAAAAAATGTTTAAAAAAAATAGGACTACATGAATTCCAACTATATGAGTATAACATATAGATTTACAAAAAATTAGACATGTATTTTGCCCTAGAGAATATATGAGCAGAAAATATAGTAATATTACGTGATTATGGTTCCAACTATATGTAAGTGACATATAGCATTACGGAAAAATATAATTACATAATATGTATAAAATAATTTTAAAATGCATAATATGATCTTAATTCCAACTATATGTATTTAACATATAGCTTTACGGAAAGTATAATTATATAAAATGCATGAAAATAAGATTAATTTGTGTGATCTTTGATTCCAACTATATGTATATGGCATATAGCTTTACGGAAAAGTATGATCACATGGATGTATAAAGAGGAAGGAGGATGCGTAATGTGATATTGATTCCAACTATATGATTATAACATATAGCATTACGAAATTATAATACTCCCTCAGTCCCTTATAACTTTGACAACTTTCCTTTTTCGGTTGTCCCAAAAACTTTGCCACTTTCCCTTTTAATCAATCAATTTGTGGCTCCAGTTATTTCTCTCTCCTCTTCACAAATCTCTACCGCACAGTTTTTACTTTATTATTCTACGTGCCGGTCAAACTTGGCAATCCTTTTAGGGACGGAGGGAGTAAAAAAATGCATCTGTCTCCAAAAAAATGAATGAGGTATAAAATCAAACACTTGGTGTGCAATAAATAGATATAAAAAATGATAACTTAATCTCAAAAAAAAACAATGATGTTTAACACAATGGAAAACATAATGCAATAAATCATATACATAAGATTTTGCAGAGATTTTGAGTTAAAAAATACCTCAAATATTGCTACTGTGTTGTGGCTGGAGAAGGGTTGAATATCTGCTACCGTGCTGCGGCGGAGGAGGGATGAATGTCTGCGGCGGAGCAAGATTGCTACTGTGATGCGGCGGAGGGAGGGCTGGTGCAACCTTGCTTTGCCAGTGAGGGTTGGCGCAGCCTTGCTGCGGCGATGAGGGTTGGCGCAGCCTTGTTGCGACGGGCTGGAGAAGGGTTGATGCGCATGGTGAAAAATAGACCTAGGCTACGTGGTGATAACGTGTTGCAGGAAGAATAGTTCTTCAAGTTTCATTACCGAATGCCCTATAAATAGGGAGTTATTAGGGTTTACAAGAACGGACCAATAGGCCCACGATACATAGTTTACATCAGATGGCCCTAATACATATTCTATATACACGATAGCATGCTACATAGAATTTCCTTCAACATGCCTACTTTATATTTTTCCACTCCGTATCAGTTAGTTTAACTAACGTGACTTGATTTCCGTTGTGGTTAGTTTATAATTTGAGCTAAGCTACAATGATATGAGGTTCCAGGAAGAGTAAGTGTGTGCTACAATGCTACCGTCTATTTGTGAAAATAAAAGTCTAATAACGAGCCTATTTTTGAAAAGAAATTTAAAGGGCGAGAAAAGTGATATTATTTGTACTTTTTGGATTATTTGTGAAAAATTCCCAAAAATAAAGCTATACAAAAATAACACAAGCCATATTGTATCTATGTAACATTTTCCAGTTCGGACCCAGGGCCGAACCCTCTCTTGAGGCAAAGAGGCAATTGCCTCAAGCCCCAAAAAATTGGTAAATAATAAGGATCCATAAATAATTGTATTCTAGTATTATATATATACAATTTTTTCTATTTTATTAAAATAAGAACAATACAAATAATATCAATCAAAATAATATCATGCAGCTATATAAGATTAATTATTTGATGTAGGCATATAAATTAAATTGCTGCTTATAAATCTTAGGGGTGTTTGGAATTGATTCTGATTCTGCTTCTTTTTTAAAGCAGAAGCAGAATCAGAATCAATTTTCAGAAGCTGGTCACCCCCAGCTTCTAAAAAAACTGATTTTAGGAGTAAATTAGAGCACCTCATAATCACTTTTGCACTTTTACCCAAACACTTCAACTTCTGCTTCTTCTCCCTGAACGAGCAGAATCAGTTTTAAGAATCAAATCCAAACACCTCCTTAATATCCAAATTTTACATTATTCAAAGGCTTTTTTCCAAAATTCGACTCGGACCAAAACAATGTTAGGATCGGCTCTGTTCGGACCATCTTCGGAGACAATCAGAATCGGTAGACACCTTAAGATGTTGTTGTTATCATCGACATTTGCAAATACCTAAACATCTTTTTTTCTTTTTCAATAGAAAAAATAGGTACCATGAATAAACATGATTGTTCGGATAGAATCGAACAAAGTATAGAGTAGTTGCGGGGAAATAATTGAAGTGCCGGCAAGTTGTGATTTATTTAAATAATTTGATCAATTTGGTATGGCAGTTAAGAATGGCAATGGGGGCGGGGAACCACCCCGTGGGGTTTGGGGCGGGGTGGAGACAGGATAGGTGAGATATTTATCATTACAAAAAAAACAGGCCCATTGTCATGGAATTTGTCACGGCCAACAGTTTAAAAAAGTCATGACAATTTTTTTGCCACAGATTTCGTCACGGACGCACGCCGTGACAAACCAGGCGTGACAAATTAATTATATGTCACGGATACTGGGCCGTGACAAAGTTTGTCATGGATTAATCACGGCATCTTTCAGTGACAAAACAGCTCACCAGAACAACGACGGTTCTTATTTGTCACGGATTTATCCGTGACAAACTTTTAAACTAATATTGTTTAATATTATTAATTGACAATAATAAATTAATAATTCACACTTTTGCTTTCCAAAAACTAATGTTTCACTAATGTTTCAATCCTACCTTAATTAAATGAAATAATGGCGGGCGTATACCTCTCACACTTTTGCTTTCCAAAAATATAAGAAGTTTGGCCTTTTCCAAAACAACCATTCTCGACGTACACACCCTTGTACACACCTTATACACACCATGTTTATGGAGCTTTTTTTTGTCTGTGAATCCGGTTCACGGACAATATTTTGTTTGTGCAAAACATTGTCTGTGAATCGATGTTAACAGACAAAAAAAAAGCTTTCACAGACATAGGTGTGTACAAAAGTGTGTATAAAAGTGTGTACAAACAACATTTTTGTTTCCAAAAATATGACGCGCTACTTCGCCCAACGGATCTACGCATCTCTTCTCTGCAGCCATCGACGCAAGACATCCCACGCAGTCATCGAGCTAATATGTCTTCTTCGCTGCTTCTCACCTCCTCGCATCCCGGTCATTCCCTGCTTCCCACCGGTATGAAGGCGACGGAGATGGTCTGCATCGGCGACGAAAGCTTCATCTTCTCCATTTTCACTGCTTTTCTTCGCTATCCCTGTTCAAATCTGTTAACAATTTCAGATCTGTAAGAGTTCAGATGGGCTATGGGGCTGGGGCGAAGAGGGCGGTGGTTGTTGGGGCAAGGATGCGCTGTTGGTCGGTGCTAGGGGCGGATTCGGTTGTGGAGGGGTTGTTGGGCGGAGTTAGGGGCGGATTCGGTTGTGGCAAGTTGTTGGCTGGCGCTGGGGGCGGATTTGGTTGTGGCACGTTGCTAGCCGGCGCTGGGGGCGGATTTGATTGTGGCACGTTGCTGGCCGGCGTTGGGGGTAGATCTGGCTGTGGCAGGTTGCTGGGTGGCGTAGGGCGGTGCTTGGGGGTGGCTGGGGAGGAGGTCGGGGGCTGGGAAGGGCTGGGGAGGTGGCTGGGGGCTGGAAGGGGCTGTGGAGGTGGCTGGGGGCTGGAAGGGGCTGTGGAGGTGGCTGGGGGCCGGAAGGGGCTGGGGAGGTGACTGGGGGATGGGGATGGGGGATGGAGAGTTGAGTCAGGGCTGGGGCAGCGGCCGGGTGGCGGTGGCGGCAACGGTGGCTTCAGTGTGGCATGTCAATATGGCTGAGTAACTGTGGTCGGTGGGCCCGCAATTATAGTGACCGGAGTCACGGACAGTGACTTTTGTCCGTGAGGCAGTCACTGTGACGCCGAAGTCACTTGGGCGTAGTCACTGTGATTGGTTGGACAGTCACTAGTCCGTGGGGCAGTCACTGTGACGTCGGAGTCACTTTGGCCGGAGTCACTTTAATCGGAGTCACTATCACCGGAGTAACGACGGTGCCAGCAGCGGCAGCGGGGGAGGCGGTGCCGGCGGAGGCGGTGCTGGCGGCGGCGGGGTCGGCGGGGTCAGCGGTGCCGGTGGCTGCAAAGGAATATTATTAAAATAAAAAATGTATTATTAAATAATAGGATTAAATGACTTTTAGTCACTTTTTTGGAAATATTTAAAACATGTCACATTTTTGTCTTTTTCATTCTTGTTAGTAATATTAGAATAAAAAGGCCTAATTAAATCACTATAAATCCTAAATTAGGCATTAAAAATACTTCCTCCGTTCTTAAATAAATGCAACCGTCAACATTTCACACTTGCCGAGACACAACTTTGACCATTAATATAAATGATTTTGTATTAGTAAAAAAATTTAAAAAAGTAGATTATGAAAATTTACAATGAGACAAGTTTAATAATATTTTTTCATTAAATAATATTATTACATTAATAAATAAAACGTAGTCAAAGTAGAACATGTGAATAGTGTAAAAGTCTAAATGTTGCATTTATTTAAGAACGGAGGTAGTAATTGCTAATAAACAAACCTAATAATTTTATAATCTCATTTCAATTTACTAATATTTAAGTTTAACTAAATTACGTTTATAGTTAAATATATTGTTAATAAATTAACAACATCACTAATTTAACAATTTCAATTATTTAAAATGAAAAAATTAATACTTATTAAAAAATACATAATTCAAATGGCATGTCTTATCTGCATAAAGAGAGGAAATGATAAGCTGATAGATTACATCCTTCAAACTTTCAACAGATATTGTATCTTAGTCTGATTGAATTTTAACTCCTATGCAATCAGTCGAATGAAACTACCCTGCCATATATAAAAAAACTTGTCACGGATTTTGTCATGGACAAATCCGTGACAAACACTTTTTCGTACAACTTTAAAAATGTAACCGCTGGAGAATTAATTATTGGGGTTTGTCACGGACTTTGTCACGGATGGATCCGTGACAAATATTTTTTGAATTTTGTCACGGCTTTTGTCACGGATCCGCCCGTGATAAATGCCCGGAAGTGAAAAAAAGTTGGCCAGAGTCAATTGGCGGTGACCGGAGGAAAGTTGTCACGGTTAAAAAACCGTGACAAACAGTTGTCACAGACTTTGTCACGGATTCGTCCGTGACAAATCAGGCTTTTCCATGATAACGTCCGTGACAAATTTGTCACGGTTCAGATCCGTGACAACCTTCTGTGACAAAACGGATGTTTTTTTTGTAGTGTATACCCCGCAAAAATATGGGGCGGGGATGGATTTCTACACCCGCCCCGTCCCCCGTTATAAATATAAACTCAAACATACATATACAAATATATACACATATATAAATAATGTATAAACATATTTAAGTAAATTATGGAATGTAGTATATAACAAACGCATGCATATACATATAGACATATATAAATGTATATATGTGTATTAGTCATGATTAATTCATTAATACATATTATATCGAAATAATAATACGTAATAACTAAAAATGTTTATCATAAATGTTATATGAGTTTTAAAAGTGAAAAAGTGTGTAAATAGAACACATACACACACACACACACACACACACACACACACACACACACACATATATATATATATATATATATATATATATATATATATATATATATATATATATATATATATAGGTTTTGGTTCAAATAAGAACATGATCTTAGGAGAGAAATGAGAATAAATCTGGACCGTTAGATTTGCTTTAAGTGAAATTCAATGTGCATTAGATGGAATTGTAATGTGCATCAGGTGAAATTGAAATGTGCAACACAAATGGTACGATACAGTGACATTATGTGAAGCTGAATTGTGCATTAGGTGAAATTAAAATGTGCACTATGTGAAACAGGAATGTGCGGAATAAGAGGTACGATATGATGTTATTTTTGTACCTTTTATTTCACACATTTCAATTTCACCTAATGCACATTTGAGTTTAAATTTTTATTCCGCACATTTCAATATCAACACATGCATATTTCAGTTTCACCAAATGCACAATTCAGTTCTACATAATACAATCCAACGGTCCAGATTCATTCTCATTTCTCTCCCGGGAGTCCGTTCTTACCGAAACCGCTCCCTATATATATATATATATATATATATATATATATATATATATATATATATATATATATATATATGGTCGGGTTCTAATGAGAAGACATCTTAACGTGAGAAGTGAGAAGTTACACATTTACCTATTCTTGATGCACTTTTTTGCTAATCTAATGCACTTTTTGCGATGGCAGAAAAATTCCGATTAATTACGGAAATGTCACTGCGTCTAACGTCATTTTATAAATATTTTTTGCACTTTCCCATGCATTTTTTTGCTAATCTGATGCAAAGATCTTAAAATGAACGCACCAGATGAATTCTCACTTCTTACGATAAACACTCTTCTCATTTGATCCTTATTCTATATATATATATATATATATATATATATATATATATATATATATATATATATATATATATATATATATATATATATATATATATATATATATATAGGGGAGGGTTCATGTGAGAAAGGAGTCTCAGGAGAGAAATGAGAATAAAATCTAACCATCAAATACATGAAATCAAAGGCTAAGATTGAATACAAATTAATTGTGGCACATGGTAATTATGTTGAAGTTTGAATGGCTATTAGTATCCTAAGAGGAACGGTTTTAAGTCTAAGGGCAAAAGTGTAAAAGTCATCATCACTTAATTTGGAAACATATAACCGTAGCTCAATTTTTTCATACAAATAGGATTGGATCATTAAATGCAATACATAAAGCCTATTGATTCAGACTATTTTTTCCTTTAATAGTTAATTTATTTAGGTTGTTACTTTACATAATAAATGCAATCCAGATATTCAATTAAATGTGTCAATTGTGTGGGTGCACTGTTATTCAAATTCCTTTGCACTTTGGAATTGTGAAGGTTGCAACGATTCTTTCCAAACAATAAATTACATTAATTCTCTTATTAAATTTTATTTCTAAATTTTGTATTTTCTCACATAAAATTCGGATAATTAATTTCGTAAAGAAAATATACTAATTGTGCATTATTTTTAATATTTCATCAACAGAATCCATCTAGATTTGTCCATTTGCACTCCGATATTAAATTGATGCACTTTTATTAGAAAAATTATGCATCACTGATTTTATTATATATTTGAATATTTTAATTGCACTAATCGTAATTGAAAAATAAATTGCACTTTAAACATACTATTGTGCATTTCCCTACATCTTTCTAATCAAAATGAATTGAAAAAATAAAAACAAGTAGACACGGGTATAAAAAATACATGGTTATACTGTCATGTGCATTCAAGTATATACAAAAGTGCATAAGTATACAACACTATAAAATTTTACAATGATAATATGTTACCCAAAATGAAATGCACTTTAAACATGTGCATTTAAATATAAATAAAAGTGCATTGTCGTCTCACATGTTTCTAAAATTTTGCATAGACATTGCAGTGCAGTTATAATACTAAAAAGGTGCAATATTTATAATTACATTAGTGCAATTTTTTAGTAAAAAATAGAGTATAATAATAAATGAAAATGCATTAAAAAATAAAGTAGAAGATATATTTAAACATAAAGTAATGAAATGATCGAGATTTTATACAAAACATGGAAAACAGATGTCTTCCTCCGTGATATCGAACTTCAGAATGATGAAAGTGTGAAAGAATCAAATGATGAGATAAAGAATTTTATTTTTATTGGCTAAGCAAATGAAAAATAATTTGATAAAGATTCTTCTGGAATTGTGAAGTAATAAAAAACAAATCGGATGATTGGTCATCCATGATTATAGGGAGTCATGTATGGAAACAATTGAAAGATTAATGGAAGTCACCGTATAAGTTTATTATGGTGCCAAATTCTCTTATTTACCCTTAATGAAATATTAAAAGACTTCAAGATCTAATGGCTATAAATCATTCTCATTTCTCTCCTAAGATGATATTCGCACTTGAACCTAAATCTATATATATATATATATATATATGTGTGTGTGTGTGTGTGTGTGTGTGTGTGTGTGTGTGTATAAGAGATCAAATACAAACCATGCTTAAAATATTAACCTACAAACTCAGTAATATGCAACACTTTGAACTTCAATATGCAATAGAAATAATGTAAAGATGCACACTGTGAATTTCAATATTCAACAAAAATAATATGCAACACTTTGAACTTCAATATGCAATACAAATAATATCCAACACTTTGAACTTCAATATGCAGTACAAATAATGTAAAGATGCACAGTTTGTGACAGTTCGTAGGTTAGTATGGGAAGACCGGTTTGTATGTGATCTCACCCCTATATATGTATAATATATATAATTAGTTATATTATAATTGATGAGAAATGTGTAACGACATACAAGATGATAATATGTTTACTTACATTTTTACTTTTATTATCTTCACAGAACTTATTCAAATTAAAGATTTATTAAAAATTGGCAGTTAACTTTTATCAAACACAGTATTATCTGATTTACCTATTTTAGTGCTATATATATTTATAATTATCTATAAAATGGGTTTAAAATATGCAAATAAAATAAATAAAATCTATATGAGGACATGTGTGAGCATCCAGGGGACAACGGGATGGGCGGGATGGGCGGGTACGAGATGGGTCTAGGAGTAATGGGGATGGGGTGGGGATGGGGGACTTTTTAGACATGGGACGAGGATGAGGGAGTTGACTACCTTCCCAAACCCAAACCCAAACCCAAACCCGTCACCATCCTACTAGCAGTGCGGGCAAGTAGCCAGTCCGTATTACAAATGAAAAAATCTATTGGTACACATTATTGGTACACACTCTTACACAATCATGTCTGTGAAGATTTTTTTTTATGTCTGTCCCAGATAAAACGTATTTGACAAATACGTTTTGTGTGAGACAGACATAAAAAACGCCTCAGAGACATGAGTTTGTAAGAGTGTGTACACAAAATGTGTATCCCAAATCTGGTTCATTACGAATTGCCGCACTCACTCACTCTAAATTGCAATCACTCACTGAAATTGCAATGGAGGGAGGGGATAAATATGGGACCGGGGACAAGTTGCTCTGTTCTATTCTATAGTCTTATCTTCATCAATGCAAGTACTTTTGTTTGTTTCTCATTGGAGATTTGATTGTGATTCCTTCAATGCCATCATTGAAATTCTAAAATTTATGTACAAGTTCAAGGATATTGAGTTCCCATAAATTTAAATTAAAATGTTGCATTACACTACACCTTTGAAACATTTTAGATGAAGATTCAAAAATATTATTTCCTCTATTTTAAAAATTGGTATAGTAGGATTGACACATTATTTAAAAGAAAATATTAGGTGCAATGAATAGGGTAAAAATAGTATGAGAGAACGTGTAAAAGTATGAAAGAGAAAAATCATCAAAAGGTAATTGAGTATTTTTAAAGAGAATATTTACCAAAAAGAAAAAGTTTAACAAACTTTTAAATACATCTCAAAAAGAAAATTTAGTAAAATTTAAAATATGGATGACGTGTTTATTGTATTATGCTTCCTTTGTTCTCAAATACGGAGTAGTTATAACATTTTAAATTTTACATTATCAACACATCTTACTTTGACATGATTTTCTGCTAACATAAATAATCATATTATTATTTATAAAATATTATTACATTTCTCTTCATGTGAACTTCCAAAGTATTAAAATTTTAAAATATTTATTAATACGTAATTAAATATTATTACAATCAATGTTGTATATTGATAAATGTGAAAGTCAAAATTGTTAAATTAAAAAAACATAAAGACAGTAACATCATTCTCTTAAACGCTCTCTTTTCCTTTCTTCTCTCTTCCATCTTCATCAACACGTCTTTCTTTCAATTCTCTCTTGCTCTTTCTTATTCTTTTTTGGGAAAAGTACGGAAAAGGTACTTGAGGTTGAGCCCGTTTTCAGATAGGGTCATGTGTTTCATTCTTTATCAAAGTGGTTCATGTGTTTGAATTCCGTTATCACAAGAGGGTCACGCCGTTAAAAACGTATGAAAAAGACCGTTAAAAGTAACTCCGATTTGCAAAAGTGCACGAAAAATTAAAAGAAAAATATCGAAAGATGCGCCTCGTCAAGATGACCTCCAAACCACATTCGCCTTTGGATTTTTCAGACCTGTTTGAATTATTTTTTTAAAATGATTCCGCTAATATCACTTTTCCGATTGACTTTCCGATGACAAGGGTGGCTGAAAACAAAAAAAGAAAGATGGCCTAAGTGCCTAACGGTCGTCTTATTGAGGCGCACCTTCCGGTATTTTTCTTCTAATTTTTCGGGCATTTTTGAAAATCTGAGTTACTTTTAACGGTCTTTTTCAGACGTTTTTAACGGCGTGACCCTCTTGTGATAACGGAATTCAAACACATGAACCACTTTGATAAAGAATGAAACACATGATCCTATCTGAAAATGAGTTCAACCAAAAGTACCTTTTCCGTGGTATATACTACCTCCGTCCCGCTATGATTGTCCCGTTTTACCTTATCGGTCCTTCCCACTAAGATTGTCTCATACCAAATTTGGCAAAGTTTGTGTGACTCTAAATTATTCTTACTTTATTCTTACTTTATCAATTCAATATCAATCACATAAACCACTTTTTATTGATTTGCGTGTCACTCCCTCTTGTCCCATTGTTAGCGGGACGGAGGGAGTAATAGTTTTAGACCAAAATCAGTCTAATTAAAAACATTATCGTCAATTTTTTTGGTAGCCCTAATTCATCCATGTGAATAAAGCTCCAACGTACCAAGTGTTCATCTCACATTTTATTTTATTAGAGCTAAAAAGAAGATGGCAATAAGAACAGCATGGCTTCTCTTCTTCGTAGTGCTTATCATAAGCACTGTGACTGAAATTCAATCGTCGGCGAGTTTAGATACCGGAGGACTAAGGCGGGCGAGTTTTCCCAAGGGTTTCACTTTCGGAACAGCGACTTCTGCTTACCAAGTGGAAGGTGCAGCCGGTGAAGAATTTGGGCGAGGGCCCAGCATTTGGGACACCTTCATCAACGTTCCTGGTATACTAGCTACCTCAATTACGTACCTTCTTCAGTAGTACGTATTTATAACTGAGCTTTTATTTCAAAACTTCATTTTTAATGTCTTCTCCACTGAAGTTTTAACTAAAATTTGGTATGAGTAAACTAGACTTAATGAATAAGATCTTAAAAAAATTCCACCGAAACCTCATCAAATGAAACGACCGGACAATAAGAACTTATTTGACCTTTTGTATGCAATTTCGAGGACTAATCTGACCCTTACCTCATTACCAATTACGAATGGACTCTTGTTATTCACTGTTAATTATTCGTTTAATTTTTTTTTTTATCTAACTACCCTTTTTTAACATGGACTTGCAATATTTTTACTTTAATGTATATCAACACACAGGACGAGAACCCGATAATGCAACCGGACAGGTGTCAGTGGACCAGTACCACCGATATAAAGTAAGTTAATGAATAAACAATTTCAAGTGATTTTCTTTAATGTAGCATCTAAGTTTTACAATTTCATTCTTTCTATTTTTGTGCACCCAAATTCGAGAACAAATATTTTAAACAACTTTTGTGTTGCAAATTAATGTCGAGCTTGCTGGATTAAATAGCCGCTAGTCCAGAAACATCACAATTAAAGTGATTAATAGTTCTATAGAAATTCGATATTTTCAAAACGCACATTCATCTTAATACTATCATATACTCCCTCTGTCACATTTGACTTAGACAACTTTTCCTTTTTTTATTGTTCCAAAAAATTTTGACACTTTTCTATTAAAGCAACTAAATTGTGTTTTTGCACATTTTTCTCTTCTCTGCACAAATCTCAACCATACAATTTTTACTATTCTTGTTTCTCACCCACTTTACACTTGACAAAGTCTACCGGGATAAATGTGATATTTTTAATGTCAACTAGAAATGTCTCGATCAATCGCAGAATTTTAAGGAGGCGATATTAGGTATTTAGATGCATTATCAACACTACTCCATTTATATATTTTATGGAGTGTAAAATATTCTGACTAAACTACTAAAGTAATCCATGACCGAGACATATGTTTCAGGAGTTATTATACAAAAAGATACGGAGTAATTACTTACTTTTTCTAAACGAACAGACTACAACTATGGAGAATGTATACAAAAAGCCTACACTTTTTGTGTGTATAAGTGGCTTTTTCATGTTTTAGTGCTATTTTGAGTAAAGATTTAAGAGAGGATCTAATTCTTTGTGATGTACTTTTAAACATATCAAGAGATTGTAATTCGAGAGCTTCTCTCTAATAGAATTAAACTCTCATATTATAAATATATATGTCAGGGCTCCTTAGAGAACATCTTGTTCCATTATTTCACATGGTATCAATAGCACAATAAAAATCCAATATTTTTTTCGTTTCTCTCTCTACTGCCACCGCCGAAGATGTCTTCAACCTCCACTCCAGCTACTTCCGCAGCGCCGTCCGTGGTGGTCTCTTCCGCAGCCGGACTGTCATCTTCTTCCGTCGCGGCAGGAATTCCCCTCTCGACCGGCGCTCCACTTCAGTTTGGAACGCAGTCGGCCGTCTCTCCCTTTGCATCTCCCAGTCGGACTGTCGTGCCTCCTTCCCTTTTTCCGACCATGCCTCCGGCGTTTCCCTGGCCAGCACCCACTCTAGTGCAGTGGATGTCCTTGGATCCCCCCCCCCTTCGGTCGGGACTTTTTCTGGACCCACGTTCGTTGGATCACCGGGAGTCTCCTCTACTCTACCACCTCCTCGGACCACCGTGGGCAGTACAGCCGGTTCCCTCTTGGCAGACCTGGTACACAACATCTCTCATGTGGCTACTAATGTCACCAATATTGTTACCACAAAGCTCCTCGCAGTGGAAGACTATACTACTTGGCGTACCTAGTTTGAGTCATTTCTTGTCTCACAAGGTCTTCTTGGCATGGTTGACGGCTCCATTCAGGTACCTCCTGCTTGGTCAGATCTATGGAATTAAAGCGTTTATTTTATCAAATTAGAAAGAAACATGATCAATCTATGGATAATTATTTACGGGAGATTAAAATTTTGGTTGATGATCTTGCTACAATTAATTGCCCTGTCCCTCCTCGTGAAGTGCTCAAAACTACTATTATGGGGTTGGGACCTAAGTATGAGTCCCTGTTCACCACCGTCTCACTTTTCCCCCAAAATTTTCCCTTTGAGACCCTACGCAATCATCTTCTTGAGCTAGAGCAGCGGGTGCTCTACCTTCGCTCCCAGGAGTCATCATCAATGCACCAGGCCTTCGGTGCTATTGCCGCAGGGGTCCAGCCTGCAGGCCACCAGCCGCAGGCTTCTCTCCTAGATTTAGGGGTTGTTTTTCTCCGCTTTCGTCTTCGACGAAGTGCGGCTTTTCTCATATCGCAGCGCCTATATGGCGGCCAAAGGTTGTGTACGCCTACCAGGTGGAGAGTTTCGAGGATGTCGTTCATGGTTGAGATCAGAAGGTCATGGACGAAGCGTGGGGCTAGGGGATGGAACAGATCTGGATCAGAGGCAAGGAGGGGAAGAAGCTACAATACTGTTGGATCGTCCCCCTCCTGAACCGTCGTCATGGAGTGTAGGAGAATTTAGGGTTTGGTTGCTATTTATTTTTCACGATCAGACGGTTTATTTTTCTATTAGTTACTTTTATTGTTGCAAGACTTTTGCATTAGGATTGGGTGATCAGAGGTGTTATAAATCTGGTTCGAAGGTTGGCCGTTGCATGTTGTTCTTTTGTCGTTTTACCCCTTATCTGAAAAATTCTGTCATGTTGAAATTTTTTGTTATGAGCGCAGGAAGATATTGACCTCATGGTGAAACTCAACTTTGACGATTACAGGTTTTCAATTTCATGGCCCAGGATATTCCCTAGTAATTTCCTCTCCATTAACTTCGTTTTTTCTTAATTAATTAATTATCGGTTATTATCACTTATCACCACTGTATATTACCGATTTCTATTTTAGGAATTAACTAAAAAGACTTTTATGTGCCACTCCTGATTCACTACAGATGGAACTGGCAAGGTAAACAGGAAAGGAGTTGCGTACTATAATAACTTGATCAATTACCTGATCAAAAGAGGTGCATTATCTTGACCTTTTTTTATTATTATTTTCATGGATTTTCCTATAATAATTATATAATTAAAATCCTAAGTCACTCCAAAAACAACACTATAGTCACTGCAATGTAAAATTATATATCAACATTACCACCACATGCCCGTTACAAAACTATAGTTATGGTCATTATATACTAAGAATCATGTTATTGTCAATTATTTTTATTTGTCATACAGTTATCATTATTGCCTTTTAAAATGGTATACAAAAAAGCTAGTAAATTTGAATTGACTCTAGTTTGAATGTCTGGCAGGCATCACACCATATGCTAATCTCAATCACTATGATCTTCCCCAAGCACTCCAAGACAGATACAATGGCTGGCTGCACCGTCAAGTCATGTAAGACCATCTCATATACGTAGTACGTAGTATATGTTGTGGTACAGAATTTTTGAATCTGATGTTATACTTATTATTTTTGTTGTTGCAGAGAAGACTTTGCAGATTATGCAGAGTTCTGTTTTAAGACATTTGGAGATAGGGTGAAGAACTGGTTTTCGTTCAATGAGCCCAGAGTGGTGGCTGCCCTCGGGTATGACAATGGGTTCTTTGCACCAGGGAGATGCTCTCAGCCTTTTGGAAACTGTACACAAGGAAACTCAGCAACTGAGCCTTACATTGTCACCCACAATCTCCTTTTGTGTCATGCGGCTGCTGCTCAAAGATATCATACTAAATATCAAGTGAGAGGCAACTAAGAATTTTTTTCTTTTAGTTGGTGTTTTTCACACCACAACAACATTCAAGCCTTGGTCCCAAAAAAGTTTGGGATTGGCTAACATGAACCGACGTATAAAATCAAAGTTAAAAATGATAAGAAAAGATAAAAAGACAAGATCATAAAAGAGTTATGCTAGAAGTACAAAAACTTTTACAAAAAGTCTTACAAAAGGGGTATGTGGCATCATCACAATATTTAACACATCACATCACATCTAAAACACTTTTACATCAATTGTAATTAGAATAGCCACATCACTTGTTTTTAAGTTTTTTTGCAAGTGTGTTTGTACTTCTAGCATTTTTCATCATAAAAAGATACTTCTTCCGTCCCGGCTTAAAGTTTCCATTGCAAAATGACACAATTATTAGACAATAATTAAATAAGGTAATTCATGTCTTTTTTAGAAATAGTTTTGATGGGTATATAATATAATGGGGTCATTGATGATAATTGTGATGTTATAGACAACTTGTTTTTAAGATTTGATGATTAAATTGTCATTTAAGAGTGTTAATTATTTCATAAAATAGAAATGAGAACCTTTAGTTGGGATGTCCAAAAGAGGAAGTGAGAACCTTAAGCTGGGGCGGAGGGAGTAAAACAGTTAAGTTAAAGATAAGATAAAGATAAAGAAAGGATAAAGATAAATACAACATAAAGATAGAAAGATAAGATAAAAAGGATTAAAAAGATGAGATAAAACGATAAGAAGATAAAGAACATAAGATGGATAAATAGATAAAAAAAAAATTGAAGTTACATCCCAAAAAGTTAATCTAATGAGACAAGTACTTTAAGAACTTATATATCTTGAACAGTAAGCTTATATGTTTATATTTGGCCGGTATAAAATAAGTTAATATGCCTATATTTGGAGGAGAGAGGAGGGAAGGCCCAAATAGGTGTGGATTAGAGGAGTAAGGAGTGATATGCTACTTCTTGGTTTGGAGGAGAGTATGATTTGGAGAGAGCGAAGTGGATACATAATATTTGGGTGGAGGATTGATCTCATTTCATCTTTCCTATCTTTTTTATGTTCTTTATCTTTTAATCTTTTCATCTTTCTTTATATATTTTATCTTTCTCTTTATCTTATCTTATGTGTTTATCTTCTTTTTATATCTTTTTTATCTTTTTAGCTCCAAATTCATATGTTGATTAATGTTAGTCGACCCCAAAACCTTTTGAAACATGACATAAGAGATAGCCAATCAAAAAACAATAATTAAAATATATTTCTCCTTGTATGAAGGATCTTATATCATTTTGGTAAGTTTTTGTTCGCAATGTCAAGGACAATGTCTAGATGTAGACATTGTGGTTGACATTGCAGAGAAAAACTTACCAAAAATACATAAGAACATGAAAAGACAGAGAGAGAAATGTCATAAGATCAATCTTTTGTGTCTATCTCTCATGTCACATGTGCACCGTGCACTTTGTAGCATTGGGGATGCTTTAAGGCTTGAATGTTGTTGTTTTTATATACTTCAAACAATGTATAACTATTACTCGTGGTTCCTCTTATTCAGCTACTTTCAATAACATTTCTTCCACATGTAGCTACAAAGAAGGATTAATGATCAACAACAATGACTTATAATTATGACATGAATTATTTAACTTTAAAAACCCTATACCTTAGTTGAATTTGAGAGTTATATGAAGTTTAATTAGAAAAAATTGATGTGAGGGATAAACACTGAGAATAATCAGAACTCAATGCACAACTAATTGTCTTTTGAAAATGCAAAGCTTAACTAGTGCTTATGACCTAACTTCACGAGGAATGTTAATGTTCCCAATGATAAAAAAGTTTTTGTGTGATTAGAGCTTAACATGCTCTAATATCATATTATGAAAAGAGAATCTCAAGGAAAGCAGACTTATAGGATGATTAAGTAAAATCTGAAATGAAATTGCAGGCTAAGCAGAAGGGAAGATTTGGGATTCTCCTAGACTTTGTGTGGTATGAACCTCTGACAAACTCAACAGCAGACAATGATGCAGCTCAAAGGGCTAGGGACTTTCATTTGGGCTGGTTTTTACATCCTATTGTGTATGGCGAGTACCCGAAAACTATGCAAACTATTTTAGGAAAAAGGCTGCCTACATTCACATCGGACGAGGTTAAAATGGTGAAGGGATCAATTGATTATGTTGGTATAAACCAATACACGACGTACTATATGTCTGACCCCCATAATAACAAATCACCTGTCCCTGGATACCAAAATGACTGGAATGTCAAGTTTTCCTGTAAGATTATTGCCTTTTCCTTCTCTGGTTTTTTGTCACATTCTATTTTGCGCTTATACATCTGTTGTAGTTGCACAGTCAACTGACTAATTTTGGATATTCCTTTTGTAGTTGAAAAAAATGGAGTGCCAGTTGGTCCAACGGTATGTTGAACAAAGATTTCATTTCATACACTAAAATTAGTATGTCTGAACAAAAAACTAACAAATTAACTGAACTGATCAAAATCCAACCGACCAAATTATGGACGGTTCAGTTGGATATATACTTTAGAGACCCAGCCAAAACAGAGTAAAAGTCTAAAACCAAGAGACACACCAACCAAAAATAAAAAAACAGGAGCCAACTTAGGATAGATGGTTTGGTTCTCAGTTTTTCACTTTTTGAAACTGAATTGACCATATCCAAACTGACAAAACCAACCCCTTACCCCTCTAACAATTAGCATCATATTTTTCCTTTTTCTGACACTGTCCTGGTTAAAATTGTGTTAGGCACATTCAAATTGGCTCTATATTGTGCCCTGGGGAATGTACAAAGCTGTGACCTATGTGAAGGAGCATTATGGAAATCCTACGATGATTTTATCAGAAAACGGTATTCTTTTTTTAAAAAAATGAAAAAGAAAAAAATGAAAAAGAAAAGGCATAAAAATCCATGATGATCTTGCGGACTAGCTTGAAGTTCCAAGTTCCAACATTAGTTTGATTTTTGCAGGGATGGATTATGCAGCCAATATTAGCTTTGCAGAATCTTACCATGACACAAAAAGGATAGACTATTACCGGAGCTACCTGATTGAACTGAAGAAGGCAATAGATAAAGGAGCAAATGTGATAGGCTACCATGCATGGTCATTGGTTGACAACTTCGAATGGAGGCTGGGTTACACTTCAAGATTTGGGATTGTGTATGTTGATTTCAAGACCCTCAAGAGGTCTCCCAAGGAGTCAGCCTACTGGTTCCAACATTTGCTTCATCGGGACCAGAACTAAGTATGCAGATGATGATGCCCACCCTGGCTCATAGTCAGTTACATTGTCTACATTTCTTACTTAGAAACACTTCATCAGCAGCCTTGTGGGCCCAGGCGCCCAGCCTGCTGTTTAAATGATAATAGTTCTTTTGCTCTTATTGTAATTGCTCACTGCAATTAAAAAGAATAAAGAAACCACTGATTGCTTAACAATGCAGTAACAAAAAAAATTATTAATGAGAAATAGTGAAATATATCACTAAAATAAAATATTGGACAAAAATGTGACTTAGTGTGTAGTAACTGTGATCATATTTCTCACCAACCGTAAGTACCAGAGTGATGCTCTATTTTACTATGCAATGACATGATAGCATTTGTATAGTGATTGTTGTGGCCAGAGTCATATTTTTGTCCATGAATTAATTGAGTAATATTATAGAAAATCCACTAATAACAATCTCAAGAAAGTTAAACAAAAAGCTTTAAATAAGCATTAAAAGTTGATAAGAGACTACTCCAAAAGCAATGAAGTTATTGATCAAAAAATAATTCTTAATGAACAGCACAGAATATTACACTCTAGAGAAGAAATTCAGTATACTGCTTTTTTGTGATATTGAACTTTGAGAATTATTACTTCTCTTAGCCTTCTTTCCAATACTTCCTCTTCTCTTTTCTTCTGATCTTTTTACAACTTTAGAATTCACACTTTTCTGAGAATCTGAAGTGGTAAGGACTTCAAAGCTTTCAGCCTCAGTTACCAATGAGGCTTGTCCACTAAAACTATCTGTCTCATCCGCTTCAACTTCTGCAAAACATTCTTTTTGAAATGGATTGTTATTGGGTACTTTTTTATCTTCTTTTGCATCAGCCTCTTTCTCATCTTCCACCAGTCCACTTGAAGGATTGAGTAACTCTTCCAGAGCTATAGCTTCAGGGAAATGCTTCTTCTGTTCAACAAAAGAGACTCGGTTCCATTCAGAAACATGCTCCTGTTCTTCAACCGAGACTTGTCCAGTAAAACTCACTGCCTCATTTGCTTCAACTTCTGCAAAACATCTTTTTCTAAATGGATTGTTATCTGGTACTTTTTGTACTTCTTTTGCATTAAACTCTTTATCATCTTCCACCTCTCGAACACTTGAAGCATTGAGTAACTTTTCAAATGCTCTTGGATCAGCTAAATGCTTCTCTTCAACAAAAGAGACTTGGTTCCAGCCAGAAACTTGTTCCTGTTCTTTAACTATCCGTACCACACAAAAAAAAATTCATGACGCAACCTTATTTTCACTATAAAAAGCGACAAAGGAGTTCCACTATTAACTGATTTAATAGAGCAGAGTCATTACTTACAGTTTGCTTCTTTTGTGAGTTTGCGAGAGGTAATGGAAACAAAACATTCCTTCCCGAAACCGGAATTAGCTTCTCTCTGTGAAGAATGTTGATGAGAACAAGCTTTGGTGGCATTCTTGGGATTAGAATTATTTTCAGCACTGGATAGGTGATCAAATGCTTCCATTGTACAAGGATTTAGCTTGCCTTGTGCAATAGAAGTTGCTATGGAATGAGGTATTTCACTAGCGACAATCAAGGATAAATTTTCAAAAAAAGCAGCTAAAATAAAAATAAAATGATCTGGCCACTGCTCTGCATTTTGTATTATTTTAATGAGAAACGAGGTAGAACAGTTACCAAAACTTAGTTTGATAAAATTATGTGATAAAAGGTAACCAATTTAAGGATACGGCCCCAAAAAGTCAAGCTCTTCTTGTAGAGATTGCATTAGTGATTCTGGAATAGGCTCCATATGCCTTGTCTTCTTGGAAGCAATGTCATATCTGCAAGACAAATAAGAAATAACTGAATCCAACACATCTTAATCGCACGAGAATAAGTACCATGGAAGAGCATCCTAATTTGGACACATACATCCTGGCATGCTCAAAAACAGAAACTGCTTCTTTGAATGATTTTGAGTAATCTTCAGGCACTTGGCTGCCCTTTTCAAACTTTAATATGGAGAGGACCTGCAAATCTCTCATTCAGAAATGGATGTTTAGTAAACAAGCTACATGGTGTATAAGAGCAACATGACTACACGTAATAGATTATTTTACAAATCATAGATTTAGTTAAAACAACAACACCGTCATCCAAGCCTTAATCCCAAAAGAATTTGGGGTTGTCTAACATGAATCGATCTATGATATCGATGTCAAACAGAGAGACAGACAAGGAGGGGGCAATGGAAGTAAGATAAAACGGATAAAACAAAAATAAATAAATATAAGATAACAATAACATAAGAATATAAGAAAGATAAAAGATAGAAAAATAAAAGAGCATAAAAAAACTAAAAAATAAAAAATAGCATAAGAATATAAAAGATAAAGAAGATAAATGATAAAAGAAAAGAGAAAGGAAATGTAGAAAAGACATCAATCTGACCCAAGAAGACGCATATCAATTCTGATTCCTCTCATCTAAGTCTGTTTGGTTCTTCATCTCCCTCTCTTCTTTTTCTCTTCTCCCAACCCCTCAAGTTGTCTAACAGGTGCATCACTCGGTCTTATACGCACATGCCCAAACCACCGCAAACGAGACTTCTGCATCTTATCTTCTATAGGTGTTATTCTCACGTTTTGTCTGATTATTTCATTACTCAAGCGGTCTTTCTGGTATGTCCACACATCCAACGCAACATACGCATCTCTGCCACATTCATCTTTTGAATGTGGCATTGCTTCACCGCCCAACACTCTACGCCATACATTAATGCAGGCCTTATTGTTGTTCGATAAAATTTACCTTTCAGTCTCATCAGCATACCTCAATCGCATAGAAATCTTGATGCACTCTTCCATTTCATCCACCCAACTCTTATTCTATGACATACATCTCCATCTAATTCATCATCCTTCTGAATTATGGAGCCCAAATAACGGAACATATCACACACCAGTATCTCCTTACCCTCAAGAGTAATCCCATTGTTGCTACTACTTGTACCTCCACCAAACTTGCACTCCATATACTCGATCTTGCTTCGGCTCAATCCGAAACCCTTGGTCTCCGATGTTTGTCGCCATACTTCCAACTTCACTTTAACACCGGATTGCGTCTCATCAATCAATACAATATCGTCGGCAAACATCATGCACCACGGTATATCTTCTTGAATTGACTTCATAAGTTCATTCATGACTATAGCAAATAAGAAAGGACTCAGAGCAGATCCTTGGTGCACCCCGATAGTAATAGGGAACTAAACGGTCCTCCCTACAGTAGTGCGGACACTTGTAGTACAAGCATCATACATATCCATGATGATACTGATATACTTACGTGATATGCCTTTTCTAGTTAAGGCCCACCAAAAGACTTCTTGAGGTATTCTATCATATGCCTTTTCTAAGTCAATGAACACCAAATGCAGATCATTTTTGTGTCTTTATACTTCTCCACAACTTGTCTAAGAAGGTGAATGACCTCAATTGTTGAGCGTTCAGGCATAAAACCAAATTGATTATCTGAAATTTTCACACTTTTACGAAGTCTTTGCTCAACCACCCGTTCCCAAAGTTTCATGGCGTGACTCATAAGCTTAATCCCTCGATAGTTGGCACATTCTTGTACATCACCCTTATTTTTAAATAGGGGAATGAGAGTACTATTCCGCCAACTCACTAGCATTTTGTTGTTTCAACAAATCATGTTGAAGAAACGTGTTTGCCACTCAATGTCTTTCTCTCCCAAACTTCTCAAAGCCTCGATCGGTATGCCATCTGGGCCCACTGCTTTTTTTCGCCCCATTTTTCTCATAGCCTCTTTAACTTCTGTTATTTGAATTCTTCTCACGAAGTCCCGATTTACCATACACTCCGGTATAGTAAGATCATCAATACCTTGCACTTTATTCCCGTTGAACATAGTATCGAAGTATGACCTCCACCTCTCTTTTATGTTCTCGTCCTCCATTAGTACCCTTTGATATACATCTTTCACACACTTAACTTTTCTGATATCTTGAGTCCTACGGTCACGAAGGCGAGCGAGTCTGTAGATGTCTTTTTCTCCTTCCTATGAGTCCAATTTTACATATAATTCTTTGTTCACTTTTCCTCTGACTTCCTTCACAGCTTTTTTTGCTCTTCTTCTAGCCTCCTTGTACTCATCTATGTTCTCGTCGCTCTAACTTTCGCCTAATTTCTTATAGCATTGCCTTTTGGTTCTTATTGCTTGTTTCACCTCATCATTCCACCGTGACGTGTCCTTTTTTTGTGGCAGACATCCTTTAGATTCTCCGATTATCTCCTTCGCCACTTTGTTAATGGTGGACTCCATTGATAACCACACATCATCTATATGTGTGTCATTATCAATAGACCATACATCTTCTTCCAACATTTTGTGTGCAAAAGTTTGTTGGAGATTCCCCACGAGCCTCCACCACTTTATCTTTGGCTCTCATTGTACCTTAATCCGTCTCCTCCTTTACCTTGAAAATCAAACACAGCCATCCTAACCTCCTTATATACTTATAAGTAGGATTTAGTTAAACCAACAAAAATTAAAAATAAGTAGGATTTTATATTTTATGACTGTAACTCACCAAAATGAAAAGTTGTATCTTGGTAAAATAACTCTTTTGGGGGCGTGGTACAATTAGAATGAGCAAAAGGTTCTATTTATGGTGGAATGGAGTATATTCTTACGCGGTCTAAGTTTCGATACTTGGAGACAAAATTATAAGCTTTTGTAATTCCTATCCCAGGAACAGATGGAAGAAAGTCACAGCCAGCCAGAACACACATGCCTGGCCAAACATCAACAGTATAAGTATATAAAGAGGTTAGATGTTCAAAATATAAAAAAGGTTGCCTATCTAGTTGAATATAGGAAGTGCAGAGTTCACCTATGAATAGATCTTTGGTAAAATTTGTGAAAAAAGGCTTCCTATCAACAGACTTGAAAACTTTGTCCAGCAAAAACTCTTCACCATTGCCATAACGATCCATCTTTAAAACAACCTGCACCCAAGCAAATAAAATTAGGCATAAGGTTATTGTAACAGAAAGGAGCTGATGGCCGTTAAGAAAGCAGTAACCTCCATCAATCCAATGAATGCATATCAGGTTTTGTCTAGAAGTTCTTACAGCAGGGCAACCATATGCGAGTAAGTCACTATCCTCTGTTATGACAGCAGCAATTCCTCCTTTTTCAGGTTTAAGGCTAGCCATATATGCTAACTGTGCATCAGCTTCGTAGGGAGCCACCACGAATTCAATGTTGTCTGATCTAAGAATCTGTACATGTAATAGCACGTGATGTCAAACCTGTACGATCTGAGTGGTGTCTAAGTGTTTAGATGATGATGACTGGCTCAAAATTGGGTTGATCAAGTACCTGAATTAATTGATGTGCCATTGCTGGGGTGATGCTCACTGCCCTCTGGATATGAAATTTTAGGGGTCAAGATAAATACAAGGCCCTAAACTATATTATTCCCGTATAACTTAGTTCCATACTTCCAAGGCATGCATATATTGTACGTAGGGACTGTTTGGTTCAAGTAACCTCACATTACTGAAATTAAAATCAGAAGGATAGCTTGTGAATTGTGATTACCTTGTAAGGTTCAAGTTTTCATATTACTGGGGTAATCTAGGACTACCTCCATATAGGGTAATATTGGTCGTAATTAATATGTATTCTAAGATTACCTAGATACTATTTTACACTGTTCCGTCTTTGTACCTAACAATTTAAAAAATAAGCAAATACTACGTATTACATTCCATGAACCACACAAAAGGTAATCTTACATTCTTGTAATCTCACATTACATTCTAAGAGTTAACTATTACGTAAGTCCTAATAAGATTTTAAATTCTGTTAGTCAAGCATTCTCTTAGGGTCTGTTTGGATTTAGCATTTTGGAGGGGTTTGATTGTTTGAAGGTGAAGGCTTTGGTGTATATAGCTTATGTCTTGATAACTACAAATGTATCTATCTAGAAGCACTAGTCATTATCCAAGAAGCAATTCTTAGTTGAATAAGCACATGTTCAAGATTCCATAAATTACACACTTCCATTATTTCATGTGTAATGTCCTACTATTAGTTAGAGAACCTTTGAGATTCCATAAATCCAGCCAAAAAGAAAAGATACTGAAATTGGTTTTCAGTTTTCAACATATGGGATTGGGCATTGCATAACACTACCTGGAAGAGCTCAGCTGCAGCATTAACATTGCCTTCCTTCAGCAATGCCATTGCCTGATCACGATTAGCTTTCCTTTTCCTAATTAAACCCGATGCAAATTAACCTTGACAGCTAAAAAGCTTGATACATGAAAGTAAAAAATAGGTATTCAAAATACAGTCAACGTTCAACAAGAGCTGCAGATTGCATGCCTGTATCTCTCATCCTCGGTGGAAGCCTTACATGGAAGATTTCCACCATCAAAAACAACTACAGGAATGATCTTATAGTGTCGAAGCAAATTGATTCGATGCATGAAGTAATTTAAGTACTGCAACTTCTTGTCGCCTTCCATATTCAGACAGAGCTCCATACTACATGAATAGGCTACATTTCCAAGTCAATCCTCGTGAACTCTTTCCCAGAACTCGAAAATGAAAGGCGTAAATACCAATTCGAAAGACTGTTAAAAGAGATAAGCCACTTACCCCCCTTGTGCAGCCATGAATATGCATCAATCCCAACCTATAAACCGCGAAAATGAATTGTTCATTTATTTAACAAATACTACTACGTATAAGATAGGCACTAAGTAGGAAAGCAGTAATCAGAAACAAAAATCTATGAAAGCAAATTGCAAAAATGTGACGGGATAAGATGGATTACTCTTTTTCCGGCGTATTTTTTTATGTGGACATGCTCGAGGTGGGGTTTCATGAATCTGAGGAGATCTTTGATACCCATTGCAGATTCAGTCGAGGACAATACTTGGGTTCTTCACCCTCTTTTCTTCTTTCTATTAGCTTTTACTGGATCTGTCGGTAAATGCGGGAAGAACAGGATTATATGTTCGAGTCGGACGGTAGGAGCCTAAGTCATCGAGGTACTGGCCTAGAGCGACCGAGTATTATGCCGCGAACTTTTTGAAATTTCACGCTATTTCGCGCTTCATATCTTGTGCTTGTCAAGCAACTACGTTTAAAAAACCTACTCGACCCAGCCGGGTCGATCGGACCAAAACTCGGTTCGAATAATTAAAAACCTGGAAATGATAAATCGGAAAAAATTGACCGACTTTGAAAAACCCGGTTTTGGTTTATCCTGGAAACAACCAAAACAGGTATTGCATATTTCTTTCTTTTTAGGATATCGAGAACTGTAATTTCATTGATTAAAATACTTTATTTTTTCTCTGTCCGGGTTTTACCCGGAAAACCCCGGTTTTGTAACCGTCCATATTCACTTAAAAAATGCATTTTTAACCAATGAAATTACAATTTTCAATACCCTAAAAAGAAAAAAATATGCAATATATTTATATACTACTCATTTGTTCAAGAATAAAAATCATGTCAAATTGTATAATAAATATCCAATAAAAATAACAAATGTGGAGTATCATTATATATTTTAATAAGATCAAAATGGTATTTTGGAATATTATGAAACTGTTTTAACTTTTAAGTGTTAGGTAATTATTATTATGAGTATATTATTATAAAATAACTACCTTTTATTTTAATTTTGTATCCAATTATGTGTTTATTATTGTTAAATGGTTGAACGGTTATATAGTATTGACCAGGTTGACCTGACCGGGTCCGGATTGACCCGTGACCCGGTCACGCGGTCGGGTCACTTCTGGGTCCGGTTTCTTAAACCTAGTCAAACGATAATTTACTATTAGCCCTAATGCTTGCTTTTAAAGTGTGATAAACGATTAAATGTGGAACATTTTGATTGGCTAAAAAATGGTGACAACTCCGATACCCATTTAAAAAAATGGGGTATCGTACCTACCATTAATTTGATTGGTCCAAATAGGTATATCATTTTTAATTTAGAATTAAATAATTCAACTGCAACATTTTCATTGGTCCATGTGGACAAAGGTATGGTACCTTATGGGTACCATAGAATTTACCCTAAAAAATTTACCTCCCTTTTGGCTATACTATTAAACAAAAAGGGCGATCCTTTTGTTACATTAATCACAAAGTTTGGCGTATGAGACTTCCAACAAATAGAGAATCAATATCAATATATTTGTTGACCACTGATGAACCGATTGAATTAACAAGCTAAAATTCGCTTAAGCCATTATGTATTGAACATACAAGTAGACTTAAACCAAAGTGTCGTAATTTTCATTAACTAAGAATCTTATTAAATGAAATTACTCTCTTAGCATTAAATTGATATACTCTTTAAATGGTTTAATTTAATCTATTAGAATCTAATTTGGCTTCGCCTTTTTTAAACTGAAAATCTGGTTTTGATATTGGTTTTGATCGATGTGTGTGCGTGTTATAGGGGGCGGAACATGTGCAAACTGTACTTAATATGCAAACGTTTGTATGATGCATCTTTATGTTATTTGTATTTCATATTGTCAAAGTGTTGCATATTATTCAGTCATAAAATACTAGTTGCATATTAACTTTCAAAGAGTTACATCCTAAATAAGTTAGCTTTCATTACAAATAAGTCACCGTGCCTTTATAGCCTTTATATCAATTCTATGCACAATTCTGAGTGTACTTTGGTGTTCTCTTTACCTGAGGAAGTTAGATTTTTCCTGGAACTCTACTATGTGAATAGTGAGGTGGATCCTGGTAACATAATGTAATGTATTTCATAGATTATTCAAACAGAGGACTAAACTTCCAAATGAAGATGAAGTAAAATCAGCAGTTTGGGATCTAAATCAGAAGGATGCACCTGGGTCAGAAAGGGCAGTAAGGGCATCTGTGGCTCTCACTTACGGTACGTTTGGCACAACTAGCTGAAAATATACTTTTATGAGCTTTCGGTAACTGTTAGCTTTTAGTAACTGAAAAGATCTTAAAAGAGAAATGTGATAGTTGTTTGGTAAAAAGCTGACTGTTTGATTTGGTTCTATTTGATATACAAGTTGTTGAGACTAATTAATACTAAAAGTCGCGGACTTTTCTCAGATGCTACTCCTCGCAGCATCTTTGATCTTTTATATCTTGAAAAGCTCTTAAAAATTGTCATACCAAACATGTAACTAGAAGCTTTTATAAATTTTTTAAATAGTACAAAAGCTAGAAGGTTCAAAAAAATTATTGAGGATTGACAACTAGCTTTAGGTCAGACAATCAACAAGCAAAATATGTCCTTTATTTGTGGCAAGGGAGCTTTGCCATGGATCAGTGATGTCATTTAGAACCTACTAGGTATGTCCATGTCAAGTCTTTCAATGAAATACTTTGGAGTTAACCTGCATAAAGGCATCAACAAGCACCAATATTGTGGGCATCTCATTAATCATTTTGAAGACAAATTAGCACCCTAGAGACCAAAGAAATTAACTCAAGGGATGGGTTGATACTTATTAAGCATGTCCTCAACTCAATACCTTTGCATATTTTAGCATTAGACAATCTACCCAAAAAACGGTTATTTAAAATCATGGAAAGTAAGATGAAAACTTTCATTTGGGGATCGTCAGACCACAAAAAGATATATCATTGACTCAAATGGGCTCATCTATGTGTTCCTAGTGATGAAGGAGAATTAAGAATTAGATCTCTAACTCAAGTGAATAAGACTTTTACTCTAAAGCTATGGGGGTGAAAAAGAGGTATTTTTTTGTGGAATCCTCTTTTTAATGCAAGATATATTAGGGGTGACAATTTGATTCTTAGAATTACACGTCCAGCTATATGGAGAAGAATTTGTACTATTAATTCCATAGCATTGAATCTTTGTTCTACTAGTTCCATTGCATACTTCTTATGGTCTTCAGAAGATGATAAGTTCTCATTTTAGTCTGTCAATAACTTTGTCGGGAGGAGCTCTCCAATGTATTTACTTTCAAACATATTTGACATTGATGCGCACTAACTAGTAGTGCATAATTGTATGTTTTTATATTTGATTTATGTGGGTTGTTTACCATTTTATTTAGTTTGTAAACATTTGTGTGATTTTAGTTGTAATTGTATTTTAACCTTCATTTGTAAGTTGTAAAGTACAATTAGGAATTATGGTGTTGAAAAGGAGGACTTTGAAGTGAAGAAAAAGGGATTTTTGACTGTCCAGGAGCAAGTACCCGACCGAGTAGAAGACTTCACCCGCTCGGGTCTGATTTAATAACCGAAATTGCCTGGAATATCATTGGACCCGGTCGAGTCCCCTATTCCACCCGGTCGGGTCAGACTTGACCTGGAACACCAGAACGTGCCGAAGATCATCAGAACGTGGAAGATTATTTGATTTTGACCGGACCCGGTCGGGTGAACACTTGACCCGGTCGGGTACTCGGCCAGAGGTGTTGAAAAACACCTATAAATAGCACACTTTTCTTCTCGAAAAATCATCTCTTCTTCCATACTCTTAAGCTCAGTTTAGAATAGCATTTCTTTATATTTTTCTAGCTATGTTTAGTCTCCAAATGAGGAGCTAAACTTCCGATTCTTGGTGTTGCTCTTGAAGCTTGTTGATTATTAAAGTTGTGAGTTATTTTCTAAACTTCTTCCCTTGAATATTAATTATTAGTCCTTTCCTTAATACTATCTCTATATTAATGTTGGGGAGTGTTGCTAAGATGACAATTAGTTAACATCTTGATATTAATTGATTATAGTAGGATTCATCTCATTTAATTATATTCTTCCTCGAATATAAATTAATTCCTATTCATATTTCATATTAATATTTTGAACATCACTTAAAGGATCAACTAGTTTTGTTTCATATATTAATTATTACTAGAAACGATCGACGAACCGATGATTAATCGTTGATGGTTTTACAAGTAAGTAACTTCGGTTTATTAATGCACAGTCGTGGTTGATAAACTTAAGAGGGATTAATTTTGTTGGTTAAATCGAAACCGTCGTGTTGAGGTTATCAATCTCAATTGATTTCATCAATGAGTTAAGAGATTAAATGCTACTATCAAATCGGTATATGACGGTGTTATATACTTGACTAATAGTAAGGGTCATTAATGAACGGTCGTTGTTAATAATTTCAGGAGTATCATGTTTTGGGTAGGAGTAAAACATAGGCAAAATGCAAAAATAGGAGTATCATGTTTTGAATACGAGTAACTTTAGTGTTTTGACAAGTATACCCCTACCCAAACCCCAAGCTCCAACAAATTTCATTATTAATTAAAACATAAAAGAAATACTTCGTAAGATTAATTAATTTATAATAAAATTGTAAAAAAACACAAAAAATATCAAGTAAAATATACTCCGTATTAAATAAAATAGAAAATTATTAAAATAAAAAAGTAAAAAATAAAAAACTAAAAAAAATTTAAAAAATGAAAAAAATATAAAAAAAAATATGTAGGCGTCTACCGCCGCCTCAACAACCTCCCAGCTCCACCAGCTTCGACCACCGAAAAAATGCCAACATTTTCCCGAAATGCTATCAAGATGGCAGATTTTGAGAAAATTTGGCATTTTCAAAGAGTAAAACCACCATCTTTATGACATTTTCAAAGAAAAATGGCAGTTTTTACATAAAATAACATTTTTTTGCCGATCGGAGGTGACATTGTTGGGTGATGACCGAGGCTGCGGGAGAGGCCTGCATAATTTTTTTATATTTTTTAATGCAGTTTATCTATTTTTTATTTATTTTTAAAATTTTTTATTTTTACAAAAATTAATTTTTTAATATTTAATATTTTAATAGTGTTGGGATGAACTTAGATTATTTTTAAAATTAAATGGCATGCATAAAGGTTTCATTTCTAGTGAATGAACTTAGATTTTTTTAATAGGATCAAATAAGTTATATTTTAGAATTATCTAGGTTAGGGATATTAAGGGTACAAAAATTAATGTTTACTTCTATTGAAGAAAGATTTAAGTTTTACTCCTATCTTTGCAATTATGTTTATGTTTACTCCTATATTGGGCAATTTCTCTAATAACTATCCTCGATGAAT